AGCCGAATGGATTCGAAAACGGTAAAACTCAACTGTTTAACTCTAGGGGAGTTGGAAAATGAGCCTATTTTCAAAAATAGTGGAGTGTTCCTTTAAAGCTGAAGTGTGTGAGGTCTACACCACAGAATTGCAAAACTAATGATTGTTACCAGAGTGATTACATTTTTTGAGAGAGTCAACCTACAAATGGCTTCCTTATGGCATACTTGTAGGTTTATCTTCACATTAAGCTGCGATAGGATTTGTTAAGGTAAATTTGAATTGTACTGCATAGTAGGTTTGACCCTACTAATGTAAAACACTCATTCCAGTCAAACTCAAGGATGCTGCGCTTCCTCATCAAGCAGCGTTTGAGCAGGTTGTTGTTTCCTTGGTAACATGCATTCGTGTTCTCACGAGGCTGTCATTCATCGTTAACATTCCAGGCCGTCTTTTCCTCCTAACATGGTGTGTATTGTGTTGTTCATCTTTGACTAACATCTCTCTCATGTCAGTGATTTGATTTCCAGCCATCGATTGTCGTTCATTAATGAAGCGTTTTCACTGAATGTGTGGATAATGAATATTTGATTCACATCGATGTGCCGTGACTCCTAATGTCTTGATATCTCCGCCTGCATGCATGATTGTTCAAAATAAGTTTTGATTTTCCTCCATTAGATCTGTCATCTTCACTTACAGTCAACTGATGAAGCAAACAAACTATTTCTGTTTTGACTCCTGATCCGGAAACATGAAAATTCAAGCTAAATTATCAGGCTCGCTGTTGAGTCAGATTTTTTTGGTTTGAATTTTTGGATGCAATGCAATGCAAAAGAAAAAGAAAAGAAAAATGTCTTGTTGTGGGGCATTCATTTACTAACCTGTAAAACACCGGCTGCTGTTGACAATCACATGATCGATTAATGATTTCACCTTGGGCAGACTATATCACATATATTACCCACTTCAGAAAAACAAGATGTGCATCAATGACAGTTAAGCTCAATTGAATGCATTTGTTGCATAATGTTGATTGACTCACTTTTGCATTTTTGGAAACTATTTTCTGTGGCCATTAAGTCACAAATGCTGTTGATTGAGTTTAAGTTGGGAGACTCCTTTGGAGTTTGATTCCACCAGTGTTGATGACAGGTCTGATGAGTCAAATGTCATCATAGCTTATGAATCTTATGATTATGTGTGTGCAGAATCACGTATGTTCCTGCAGAATATTTAGAGGAATACAGGGCAAGCCAGCAGCTCCAGAGTGATGATCTCTCTGATGGCAAAAACAACACTCAACAGTACGTACTCCACTCACACTTCATCCTGTCAGCTCTCATTGACTCGTAGAGCTGTAAAATGGACATGAAATGAGAGCTTTGTGTTTGTGTGTTTAGTCAGACGGCCTCAGATCTTCCAGAGAGAGAAGATGGAGAGGGACAGGAGAGTGAACGACAGACAGCAGCTTCCAACAGCTGGAATCTACCACGGAGGTGAGGACAGATCAATAAGTTGCATGTGATTGAAAAACATGGGCATATCTATTAGGAATGGATATGTATTAGCAACCGGTTTCTGTTAGTATTCTTATTATACTTCCTCATTGGAGCCAAATTTGGTGCGTTCATTAGTGAAGGTCTGAACATCAATCTGACCAATTTTGGGCTCTCTCACTCGAACCCTCTAGCGCCACCGTAAGTTTACAATTGGGCTTTTCATATAACCGTATGACCTATTTACAGTCTTCAGATTTTTTATGAAATATGCTGCGTGCTATAAACAGATTATGTATTTATTTATTTTTGAAACAGACAAAAAATATGTTGATAATACATATAATATATAATATACAGTGGGTACGGAAAGTATTCAGACCCCCTTAAATTTTTCACTCTTTGTTATATTGCAGCCATCTGGAGAGACCTAAAAATGGCTGTCCACCAACGTTTACCATCCAACCTGACAGAACTGGAGAGGATCTGCAAGGAGGAATGGCAGAGGATCCCCAAATCCAGGTGTGAAAAACTTGTTGCATCTTTCCCAAAAAGACTCATGGCTGTATTAGATCAAAAGGGTGCTTCTACTAAATACTGAGCAAAGGGTCTGAATACTTAGGACCATGTGATATTTCAGTTTTTCTTTTATAATAAATCTGCAAAAATGTCAACAATTCTGTGTTTTTCTGTCAATATGGGGTGCTGTGTGTACATTAATGAGGAAAAAAAATTAACTTAAATGGTTTTAGCAAATGGCTGCAATATAACAAAGAGTGAAAAACTGAAGGGGGTCTGAATACTTTCCGTACCCACTGTATATCCATCCATTCTCCAAACTACATGTCTTATGAAGGATCACATACATTTTGCATTCGCAAATGTATTTTCTTGCTCCTTTAAGTACATTTGCAAATATATTATGATATTTGAAGGCTTAAAAAATTTATTTTGTTATTTTTTTGTTCTGGCCAAAATATATTTAAAAAATATGCTACATATATGTTGTAAACCATGCAGGTTAGTATGTACTGTCAATTATTTTTTAACAAAATACTATTTATATATATATATATATATATATATATATTATTTATTTATTTATTCATTTTTGCCATATGGATAGTGGCACGTATTTATCAAAAATGATTTTAAAAAAATGAATAAATAACTTGGCCTAAATGTAAAACTCTGGATTTTTATTGCCATTTGTTGTTTTAAACCTGTCCAGCATCTTTCATCAGATCTTCCCCAGATTTTGGCCTGATAATCTTTAGACTCAGCTGGCAAAAATATTATCACAAGGAACAACGTTGACTGAAAATGGCCATCAGATGTGGCACTTTATACATTCATATTTTTCTCACCAAATATTGTCTCAGTATTGGATCAAATATTGGATTTTCAAACCATGCCTGACCGAAATTATTGAATGTTTTCAATAACCGAATATTGAATTGAATCAAAAAGTTTTGAATCAAATCCCACATGGCACAGAATTTGAACCTCTGGTACAAATTATTTGTTTTTAACAAATCTTGGAAAATATATTTAAGGCTTGCAAAGTTTGATGCTGTTCGGTCAGAAGGTGGGATCATGATGATGAGAAACTTATCAATGAAGACAACTGTGGGAAAGTCATGAAAATGTATTGATCATAATGTTGCAAATTGACGTTACTGGATGTTAATTGAATGTTCTGTGTGTGTTTGCTCAGAGTGGAGTTGCACAGGGAAGCTGGGAAATCTCTGGGCATCAGCATTGTTGGTGGGCGGGGCATGGGCAGTCGCCTTAGCAACGGGGAAGTGATGCGGGGCATCTTTATTAAACACATCCTGGAGGACAGTCCAGCGGGACGCAACGGCACACTGAAGACAGGAGACAGGATTTTAGAGGTACACACACACACACACACACACACTTAGCTATTTATTATAACAGAATGATGTCAAATTAATTACATTTATAAATGATTATTAATATATTAAGATAATACAACTCTAATCTAAATTAAAATGCTAAAAAGCTCAAAATCAGGTTATAAATAGAGATCATATTTATTTTTAATTTTCTCTCAAAATTGTTTTTATTGAAGAACATACAGTTCTTGAAACGTCTGGAGTTACAAAATTAATTGTAGTTAATTAATTTGCTATTTGCATATCTCCAGTTATTGTTAATGAAATTAATTAATAAGTTAATAAAAGTTTGAAAACAAGCAGCTTTGTCATAATTACATTCAGGAAATACCTTAAAATATATGACCTAACTTTCTAACTTTACATACTGAGCTAGTGGACAAATTCACTTTTACTTAGTTACAATTGTTTGAAATTGACTTGCATTTGTCAAATTATAATTTCATTTTAATTATAAAAAGGCACTGCTTCACCCAATATTTGCATGTACGGTGTTTTTTTTTATTTTTTATTTTTTTTATTATTGTAGTGTTGCATTATGCTAGTGTCAAACTCCATTGGAATCCATTGTGAATCAATTCACCTGTGCACTTCATGTGAGAAGCGCAATTTGTGTGGAGAACAATGTAGAGCATTGCAAATCAGTGATTATGAGATTGCATTTCAGTTCTTATATCATGGTACAACAGTAAATAGTATTTACAAAATATTTATTTTTGCTCCAAAAGTTGAATTCTATAAAAACAGCAAATTGAAATGTTGCTTGCATTGTTATGACACCCCAAAATGAACTTTTGTATTCAGTGAAGCTGTCTACACTGGAAGTGGCCATGCACGGCACCGTTTGTGCAATTTTCTGCTTGCTGTCTGATTTTTTTTTAAATCATAATGTGGTATAAATGATATCGGAAAATCAGTTGATGCATTTTTACTTTGCATGCATACTGTCATACAGCCCAGCCTGTCTAGGTGAATAGAGTGGCATCTTTTTGGCAGGTTTTGGGCTACACACCTGCCCATACAGTCCAGTAATGACCTTGAGCGTTGTGTGTGTGTGTGTGTGTGTGTGTGTGTGTGTGTGTGCGTGCTCTGGCTGGGCGATATAGCATTAATGGAATATAAAACTTTATAAAAACCACTTTATCTAAAAATTAGATGTTCATATTCTGTTGACAATCTCAATATTTGTTAGTCTTTTAGGGATATGTGTTGCTGTATATCTCAGTCAGGGCCGTTTCTAGCCAATTTGACGCCCTAGGCGAAA